TTACAAGAGCAGGAATTATATTAGCTCCTGGATAGCAGCGAGCGAGCGAGGGCCTAAACTATTGTCCTTTGCACTGGTGGCACCTGACTGAGAGTGAATATTATTTTTAACCATCTATCTTTTGTCACTAGCGATACATGGTTAAAGAGCAGAGGGGAAAAGAGATTTTAATTAATCGTTCTCCAGCTGAAAGCTCTGAAGTGATTTGGTGTAAATCAGTCGCTGCAAGATAACGAATTCTGCAGGAACTGCTAATTATGAAGTCCTTCACTTAAACTAAACTAAACACTAAACGTCACTGAATTATTCCACACTAGCTAATCAGGAGAAGTTGAATCTGTTCTGCAGCTTATAGAATAGCACTTGATCCAGCACATCATTTTTTTTTCATTTTTTTTTCTCCCTCTTTTGGGGCATTTTTTTTTGTTTTCATATTATGCTCCAACATCTTAATGTGGTCACAGGAGGCTAAATCAAGGTCTTGAAATCATACTGTGAGCACTGGGACATAGGCTACTTTACTGCCATTTTGAATTGTTGAATTAATAAAATAGTGCTAATGATTCTGCTCTTTCTGGAAAAAAAAAAAATGGAAAAAATAATGGAGGAGCTGCTACCTATTACATACAGTAACAGATATAGCCGTGGTGGTCCTCCCTGACATCAGATACACTTGCTTATATGTTACTATCAAGGTAAAGTAACAAATTAAGGTCTTATCCTTTTAAGAAGTGTTTGGTCACCACACCAGAATGTTTATATCACTGTTTGCTTAATGTCACTGCCAAAAATTTTAGCAGAAGTTGTTAGCTGAGCCAGTAGTGTGTCCTTTAACATTCTCCCTTATTATTCAGTAACTATTCAATAATTATTCAGTTACAGGGAAACTGTAGGGAAACAAGATGCAAGAAACTCAAAAAGCAATATCTTAATAATTTAAAAAGACTGTGCTCATTACACAAATTTTACAGCCAATTGCCCATATGTAAAGTTGCTTACATTGCTTGTTTGCTAGAGTTTTTTTTTTTTTTCCTAACTCGCAGATGACATCATTCAAGGACTTCGTGAGATTGCTCCCGATGCCGTTGTCTTAACGAGCTTTGAAAACAGTGACACAGACACAGCATCCTCTGGCTCTGACTCAGAGGAACCCCTAGCCGTGCTTGAGCCACTGAGATCATTACATGATCCTACTTGCACACGTGCGTCACGAGAGGAAATTCAAGTGAGATGCAAGGAAGCTTATCACAGACTGAAAACGAGTGTGGCAGACTTGAAGCTACCACTAGACAGCAGTCTAAGTGTCAGGACTGGCACTCACACAGGGTTGGTAGAATAACCAGCACTACATTCCACAGTATACGCACCACCACATCTGGACAAGACAACGTTAATGACAATAATGCAATATGATGATACAGACTTATGGGTTCCAGTAGTCTTTGGGATAAAGAGAAAAAAGAAACTGCCAGATAGTATTACACCGATCTAATGTCCAAGGCTCATCAAGATGTCAAGGTTAACACACGTGATCTTGTGGTGCGTTCTGATAGCCACATCTTGTCTGTTCTCCAGATGGAATGATTATATATACTAATATACTGAATGATTATATATACTTGCTTTGGAAAAAAGCAATTGAAATCAACTACCCATACAAGTATTGAGAATGGGTTCAGTGACTATGGGAATTTTTGCCTAGACAAGTCCTTTCAACTAAAGTACGGACATCAGCATTACTCACAGGTTCAACTCCTACATGTATGTGTGTAATGTGAATTATTGTGATTTTGTGCCTTGGACAAAGATGATTGTAGTGTTTTATCTCCTGTGTGTTGCCTGAACTGCTCACACATAGCCATAACCCTATCCTTAAAACACTGGTGGTGTGCAGCTCTTGTAAAAAGCCAGACTTTGGGAAAATGATTGACTGTAAGAATTGTTAAAAAAAAGAAAAGAAAAAGAAAAAAAATCATTACAGCTGTGCACAAATCACTGTAATGGCCACTGAAATAGCACTGCAGTCAATGTCCAACTACATGAGTGTTCCTGACCTCACTGTCCCTCTCTGTCTGTACAAAGAACCTACACCACAAAGTGCAGTCTACATAACAATCAGGACAAATAAACCAAACTATGTAACAATAGTAACAAATAGTAATGTTGTAACAAACACTCATTTTACAGTTGTCATAAGCTCTTGCTAATGATATTAGTGTTACTAGTTCAGGTTAATAATTTATGAAAGTACTACAAAACAGTATGTAATATAAATATTTATTAATAACATACAGCAAGACAATTATTGATACATTTCTTAACAATAAATTCTGAATAAATAACCAACTTCAAGATAAAAGTTACAGTGTTTGTGTTCTGCATTTCATACTATTGTGAGATTTTGGCTTAAGCCTTGAATGGACTAATAAATGAGTCATATAATAGTCCATCTTTTATGACCATTTATAAGATGTAATTTCCTTTAAGTTATTATCATATATTTCACTTATTACAGTGTTTTTTCTGTTTTTCTGGGACAACACCTTTACATAGATTAGGGAGGGCCCCACACACTACCACCATATTGTCTAAAAGGTCAACCTGGCTAAGTGGAATAGTGAAAGGGAAGTGGTAGCTCAGTGGTTAAGACCTTGGCTTCCTCATCAGAAGGTTGAGAGTTCAAATCCTAGTGCTTCCACTGCTGGGTAAGTCCAGTCGCTCTGGATAGGGGTGTTTGCCAAATGCTATAAATGGACTGCACAATTCTGAAATTCTTCCATCTGTTAATAATTCTTACACATTGACCTCCTGAGCAGGCAGCTGTCTCTTTCCTTTAGCAAAATGTGGAATACACATGTTTGCACCATACACAGCAAGTTCATCTTTTATCAAAAAAACTTTTTAATAAGGTTTAACAGATGATAGAAATGTGGTTAGAGTGTACCTGTACATAATTCGAATTTTTAGAGTAAAGCTTTAAAGGTCCAAAAGGTTCATTTTCGTTCAAATCATGGTCCTGTTGTGTGTCCTTTTATATAATTTGTACTTTGATTTGACAGTGTGTGCTTGATGTATCTACTTTTAGTTTCGGAGATGCCAGTATCGGAGATGTACTCCAAAGAATCAATCATAACAACAAAAATATATGACAAATTTGTGCTAAAGTTTGCAGCTTCATAGAATACATTTTACATAGTCCGAACTGTAACTATCATGTACAATTTTATGAATGGTTACTGGTTGGCATTGGAAGCAAAGGCCTATGGTACTCGCTCATTTTCTCCAAACTTCACGTCCCTACTCTAAATGATTCTAAATGTGTGTGTTCATGCGTGTTCACGTGTGTCTGTGAACTATGATTATCACCGTAGTTGTAATTCTGTTCAAAGTGTTTTCAGTAAATTAAATGCATAAAAATGTCATGAATGTGTTAATATCTTTTCCAATTCAACATGTACAGCAACTTTGGAGCAAAAGTCATGAAAATATACTTCACTCTGTTTTCAAAGATAATATTATCGAGAATGTTATCAGAGCATCAGAGTTTACTTATTTCAATTTGACTTTGTCCCCATTTGAAGTTGTGATGTTCATTGCTGGTTATATAATACAGAGCACCAAAAAAATCCTAAACCCTTATCTGAAACTTTCTGTAAGCTTGTCAAAAACTACTTAAGCTTTGCTATCTGAAGGTTAAAAGGATGTTGGTTTTGAAGGGGACTGCAGAGATGAATGAGCGCTTTGGCTTGATTCTTTTCCACCGGCGATGCAGTCATACTATGGGTCAAGGATATATTTCAGGTCTTGTGAAATTTATGACTTTGACCGCCTTGGTGCAGTATAAAGCATCTGGAAGCTACATCCAATCTCTTGAACACTGTCCATAAACCGAGCATTTACGGGTCCAACTGTTTATAGCTGGTGGATGACAAATTGTTATTTAAGAAAAAAAAAAAGTACAAATGTTTTCTGTGATGAGACGTTTACAAAACATTTATGGAAGGAGTCTCCAGTGTCAGTGCTTTGTAACAGTCAGAGGTAAAGTTGTAACTTGTGTTTTTTTTCTGATATCTTCAGGACAGAAAAGTTTAAACCTTGCCACGTTATGTTAAAAAAATAGCTCTATTATTAAAATATGCACGGGTTTAAAAGGACTCGTTTGTTTTGCAAATGCAGAACAAATTGTAGGAAATAAAGTAGATGCCGCATGTCAGATCCATCAGTGGTTGTTAAGGTTGTATGTTATGTAAACTTCATCCAGTAATGGAACGCTACAGGATTGAGGTTTTGACTCAGATTTCCTTTTCAGTTAAGCCTTTCATTATTTGCGTAAGCCTCCAGGTTTGGATGTGAGGAACACTCACTTCCACCAGCAGGTTCAATAGAGATAACGTATCACTGCCCATCCCATAGGGAACAGCAATGCAGCCCAATGATTATCAGTGGAAAGACTGATTCCTCCTTAACACCAAAACAAGTCAGTGTTTATCACACAGCTGGAGCCATTGATTTGAAGAACTGCTGCTGTGGTTTTCTGTAATTGTGTCTGCAGGCTAGCTGAATCTATTTAGAAGACATTAGTGACTTGAAATGCAAAGAATTTTCAGTTCTGACAGTTTGTCCAGTTTTCCATGAAGATCCTGGAGTAAATGGAAGAGTGGAGAATTCTGTATTAAAGCACCAGGTTTTAAACCAGTAAACGTGTTACACTTTATTCTACTGTCCTGTCCATGGAACACCCCCAATCATTGTCCATTGCTGCTTAGCAACAGGGTGATATCTAAAAATGTTGTTGTTCTTCTTTCAGATGTTCCTGTTAGTGGTCAGCACAGTGGATCATTGGGCCACATATTTGATTTGGCACTTTTTTTTTTTTTTTTTGGTGCCAAATCAAATATGATTCACATATCAAATGATCCACAATGATGCCCTTCCTGACACAACCCTCCCCAATTTTATCCAGACCAGCACTGGGAGGGCATAGTTGTGTACAGGGTTGGTTCTCTGGCTGGGAATTGAACCAGGGCTGTAGTAGTAAAAGCACCAACTCCTAACCACTAGTCCTCCAGGGATCCAGGGTGCTCGCTAAAAATAATTATCATGATATTTCCTTAATAAATTATCACGATAATCGATATCATCACTCAGACTGCAGCATGTACCAGCTTTTAAAAAGCACTGCAGCCAGCATTTTTTTCATCATGATTATAGTGGGCGTGTCGTGTTGCTATGGTTACAGTGTGCTGTGGCATGAGCCATTTTCTTTTTCATATCAACACAAAATGTTCTCCATGAAGTGCTTCTCCATGCAAAAATGCTGCTATCTCTATAAGCAACCAAAATTTACTATTAACAGAGAACGTTGTATGGTGGAGGAATTATGTATTGCGAATATTATTAATAATAAATTAAATTATTTATTTTTTAAATTTATGTTTTTATTTTAGTTCATTATGTATCATACTGTTTTTGTCTTCAATTTAATAAAAAAAATTCCTTTAGACCCTTTAGCCATGATAAAGTAACTGTAACTCACACCGTCTGAATGATTATTGGTTTAATATATATTGTCTTGTTCTATATGTTTCCTGTAGAACAGTCTCATAGAGACTCATAGAGAGTCTTTCATGTAGAGAGATTTCATGTAGAACAATCTCATAGAGAGTCAGACACGGGGAAAAATCTGAAAAGTTTGTCCTGGGCTTGTGTAAGCAAAGTGAACATGATGTCTTTGCAGGTGTTGTGAGTTGCAGGTCATCATACACCTTCATCCTTGCAGTAAATAAAGCAGCTCGGAAAAAAACCTCTGGAAAAAGCTAAAGAGCAGGTAACTGCCTCCACAGCAGGCCTGCCGATTTCTGACTCACACTCGTTCTCCAACTTCTACATTTCAGAGCCTCTGAACATCCATCACCACACATCCTATTACTCAATAGGATTCTTTTGTGAGCATAATGAATGTGACGTTATTCTAATGACCGTTATTCAAGCTAGTAGGCCATTTAGGCTTCATGCTTTGAGATATTAATGGAGAATATTACTGTCTGCAATCAGGCAGCAGTTAGCTAGGAACAAACTTTGGAATTAGCATTAATTGGTTAGACTATTGATTTTCTTCTCAAATTAATTTCATTACCTTGGAAAAATCGCTTGGAAAATGGATGAAGCCATGGTATATTTCCTAATTACAAAACAATGGGTTTGATTTGAGACCCAGCTTTTAATCCCTGTTCTACAGAAATAGCTAGAAAGATCTAAGTGGAGCTATCCATCTGTTTCTGTGTAGAATTTTAATGAAATATGTTACATATTATAGGTTTTCTTGAATAGCATTTGCATGGCAGTATCCACTTTCATTCTCAACTGAAGTTTGAAGTTTCGATTTGGAGTTTCTGAAAGAATGTGGGAAAATTTCAGTATTTTATCATGGTGTAGCTGAGATGTGAGCATTGAGTTGGCTAAACTAGTGAGTGGCATCCAATCAGAGGTGCCCTCATTTGCATAGTCCCAGGGGTTCATGGGAAACAGAAAGAAGACCATACCATCTAGGAGATTCTGACAGCAATCAGTTATGTAGCTGGTTAGTTAGTTTTGTATGTTTTCTTTTAACTGGTTGTTTTGTAAATGAGTTTTTTTTTTTCATGAGTTGGTTAGGCAACAGCTCATGTATGAGGTGGTTTTTAAGGTCTTGTGGTAGCGACATGGGAATGAAAATTTCTTCTACACTAACCAACAGTCACTGGTTTCTAAAAGTGTTGTCAAGTTAAACTTGTCTTAACTGGTGTTTAGTGTGTTTCTGACTTTACCATCTACTGCTCATTATCATTGTTCTGTAATGTTTTTATGAATTTCACTCTGAACATATTAGCACACGCACACGCGCACACACCTGAAGCTTCCTCTTACAGTCTGAAACTACAGGTTGAAGTGAAAAACTTTTTCAAATTATTTAAATGAGTAATGTTTGGTTGGTGCAAATCATTAAGACAAAAGTCCAATTAGCCATACTTATTGCTGGATTTCTGTAGTGTAGTGGTTAGACTGATGCTCTTTGGTGTCGTATATCACTGGTTCAGTTCTGCTTTTTAGTCAGTTTCTTACTAGTAATCTGAATGTAAAAGAGAAACATTTAAAAGGAAAGCATGCTGGTATGGGATCTGTGGCTGAGTTAGTTGAGTTTTGGCTTGGGTGGTAGCAATTCTTGGACACAAACCCAATCAAGTCTCTAGACTATAATAACCCAGAGTGTTGGGTAGTGAGTAGGGTGGGGGGTGTTAAGGGTGTGTGTGGTGATAGTTGGTGGAGGCTCAATTCTAAGGGGTGCTGACAACTATCAGACTCAGAAAAATAATATCATGTTTTGACATTACATTCTCTCCTTTTTCCCTGTCTCCTCCTGCCCTTTATTTTCCTCCCTAGCCTCTGCAGTTTCTTTCTCATGAAGGGAGAAATGTGGAACAACAACTTAGTCTTCCTGAAAAGCAGTTTGGCATGCTTAAATGTGGCAGCAACAACAATGCATGTGAGATTGTTGTGTTGGGTTACACACACTATGCAGAGTCAGACTACTAGTTGATTAATTAATGATAAAGAAAATCATTTCAATTATGTTACATGACTAATGTCGTAATTAAATTTTTCTGAAAGGTTTTGGAGTCCTTTTTTTTTTTTTTTTTTGGTTGACAAAGGACAAAAGTCCAATGGGCAAACCCTGATGCACTTCTTCAGTAGTACAGTGGTTAGAGTAATACTTTTTCGTGGTGTATGTTATAGGTTCAGTCCTGCTTTTACTCACATTCCTACCAATATCCTGACTCTAAAAGATAATTTTTTTTATATGAATTTCTTTTTTTTAAAAGGTGTTCAAGTAAAGCGTTGGGCTAGGTTTTGATTCATACAGAACGAAAGACCAACATGTCAAACACAACACAACCCTTCCGTAGTACAGAGGTTAGAATAACGTGTGCTGGTGGTGTATACTGTAGGTTCAAGTCTGCTTTTAGTCAGTTTGCTATTAACAACCAGAATCTAAATTATTTATTTATTTATTTATTTATTTATTTACGTTTGTGTGTGTGTGTGTGTGTGTTTTCTGGTATAAGGTTTGTTCTAGTTTGTGGTTGACAAAAGTCCAACATGCCAGAAAATGCATAATTCTTCTGTAGCATAGTGGTTAGAGTAATGTATTTGAGTGGTGTATATTACAGGTTTAAAGCTGCTTTTAGTCCTACTAATAACTTGAATGTAAAAGAGTAATGTTTTTAAAAAGGGGGTAGCAGCATGAGATTGGTGGCTCACTTGGTTAAACTTCACCTCTGGTGTTAGAGGTTGTTGGATCAAAAACCAGCTCTAAACTACAATAACTCAAAGGGTGGCACATTAAGAAAGTGGGGCGGGCAGTGTGCCACTCAGAACAAGAACATGCAAGCGCTGTGTGGGGGCAGCCAGTGCACCACTCTGAGCGAGCAAGCACTGTGTGGGGCGGCCAGTGTGTAGCTCTGAGTGAGAGTATGCAAGAGCACTATGTGGGGTGGCCAGTGGGCCACTATGAGTGAGAGCACTGTGTGGGGCAGCTCTGAGCAAAAGCCAGCAAGAGCACTGTGTGGAGGGGCCACTCTGAGTGAGAGCACTGTGTGGGGCGGCTCTGAGCGAGAGCCAGCAAGAGCACTGTGTGGGGCGGCTCTGAGCGAGAGCCAGCTGTGGAGGGGCTAGTGGGACACTCTAAAGAAGCACAAGAGAGTGCTGTAGGCTGGCTATGGAGAGGGGTGGTCAGGAGGCCATTATGCAAGTGGGATGGGGGGGGAGGTTCAAACCTGAGGAGAGGGTAACAACTGCCAGAAGAAAGCAATGTCTCCTTTACTGAGCCCAGAACACTACCCCCACTCCACTTTATTACACCCTCCAACCTGCCTACTCCTCCTTATCCCCCCCCCCCCAACCTATTGCTTCCATTTCCATCCTCCTCCCCCAACCTCCTCCACTTTTTGCTACCCATTACACCACCACTGACTCCCACACCCAGGAGGAGCCTTGAACCAACAACCTCAAAGGTGAAAGGCAAGGCTTTTACCACAGCACCACCAAGCCTTACAGGTATGTACTTTTTTTTGGGAGGGTTGTCTTTTAAAATTGGATCCCAACTTAATAAAAAAAAAAAAGCATCTATATGAACATCAGTCAGGGTGTGTTAATAATTATCTGAAAATATCACCTTTAACCAAACTAAGATCTAGAAACATGTGCACTCTATTGTTTCAGAAAAAAAGAAGCAGCAACCAAAATAAAACCAGTGTGAATGGGGGGAGAACATTCCAGAAACTTCACAACAGGCTCACATTTGTACAACTGGATTGGTGTTGATCTGGCAGCATCACTTGCAGCTTACTGTTACTGACTAAAACAACAGGGAAGGGGTTGAGGTTAAGAATCAACTCAAAGTTAAGGACAAACATACCCAAATTTAAATTCCTAGAAAGGATTTTTCGTAGCTTTTGGTTGACGTACGACAAAAGTCCAGAGCCGACAGAGCCTCTTCAGTAGCACAGTGGTTTGAGTAACGCTCAAATGTGCTTCTACTCAGTTTCCTACTAATAACCTGAATCTAAAAGAGAAATGTATATAAAAAAAATAGACATGCTGGTATGAGATCTGCAGCTCAGTCAGTCGAGCTTTGCCTCTGGTGCTGCCGCTTGTCAGGTCAAAGCCTGGCCAGGTCTCTAGGATACAGCCATTGGGAGTTTGGGGCACTGTGTGGTGGACGTTAGTAGTGGTGGTTCCTGAGCTGGGTGGCAACAACTAGCCAGCTGCCCCCAAGGGCACAGTGAGAAGGAAGCAAAGGGTTATGGAGTTTTAGTAGAGAGGTTCAACTTAGTGTTTTTCTAGGCCCTACATAACCCACCCTTTCTTTGGTCTCTCAAACATTAATAAAACCTTTTTTTACATTCCAAAAATGTTAAATAAATGACTCCTTAGAGAAAATGCCAGCATAATAACAATTAAACATGTAAATATAATAAATGTAATCCATTTATGCTGTTAGGGACAAATAATTATCATCTTCTGCCCAACCAGA